TAACAGAACTGTTAATTTAATCATAGTCTCCTTTTTCCCCATCTGTTTTCCTCTTAGGAGCTTGGGTAAATTTTTCAGCCTGAATATACATTGCTCACAAGCCCAGCAAGTATTGGATTTCTCCTTGAAGTTGATCAGAAACCAGATTATTTAGTCCACACCAATACACTCAAGCATTACTTTCTGATTGTTTCCCAAAAGGATTGTTTGTGAGAAGAAAAAAAAAAAAAAAGGAAACCAAGCATCGTAAATAATGTCAGAAATGTTTGCAAGGTTGGGCCTTTTCTCATGGGTCAGTTTAAGTACTATCCCCTTATCCTTCAGCTGGCTAGAAAACTATGCTGCATAAATTATGCTGCCCCCACTGTCCTGCCCATATGACCTCTGTTCCAGCTTGCAGAAGTATTATGGTGTCCATACTTGGTGTTGGACTATGCAGGGTGTATAAAGCAAAACTATAGCTGTGGTTGGCAGGTGGCTTCCATAGATGGCAGGACCAAAAGGTACAGGGTGGGGTACCAGGATGTAATGGTATGTGGGAACGACCTCGGGAGACAATAGGAAGAGCCACAGACTAGACAACTGTCAGATAAGTGGCAGCTGAATCTGCAGAAGGAATTGAGGGGGAGTGACAAATGCCTCAAGAGGGACTCTCCCTAGTTTCTTGGACTGTAAAGGTGAAAGGGGGAGAAATATACTTTCCCACTTGCAAGATTCTGTTAATGTAACCTTACAGTAAACTTAGAGCTAGTACTTCTGGGTGTGTTTCTCATCTGGACTACCTCGCAAGGCTGACACAGGTAAGGCAGAAAGGCCTCTCCCATTTTAACAAGTAGCTCTCCCAGACCCAACAATCAGCTATCTGGAAGACTTGTTTTCAGTGCAGGTTTAGCACTTTTTCTCTTGCAGAGCCCACCAGGTCCATGTTCTGTGACTCCAGGAGGTAGCAGGTCAGGAGAGCCCAATTTGAAAAAGCCAGACTCTTCAGCTTTCTGGAGGATAGCTAGGATTCAGAGGGGAGGCAAACCCACAGCAACCTGAAGTGAGGTGGTGGTACTGAGCTGATCTCACCACCTCCAGTGGTCACCTGACTCACCACCAACAGCAAAGAATGCTAGATTTTGCATATAATGTAAAACACCAGAACAACTAAAGACAACTGAAGGCTGCCTCAGATAAAGGAGATGAAGGCAATGTCAAGGGGACAAGGCAAAAACAAAAACAAAAAACAAAAGAGGGGGATTGGGGCATGTTTGCAATGTTTGCCTTGTGATTAGGTGCAAATGAGGAAAGGCCCACATTAGCACAAAGGCAGATATTTCTTCTTTCCCAACTCTCATATGAAGTTCAAAGTCTGAATAAGCCTCACCCTATTCAGTAGTCATCCCTTAATTTCTCATGTTTGCATGACTGAACCACTGAGAATTTGACTACCGCTGTACTGACTGGGAAGCCAACTTACCTGTGCAACGGCACCTCATAGTAGCCTGTGCCTCCATGAAATGACAGAGGGGCCATTTTCAAAGCTTCCAGCTCCCACAAAGGAGGGCAGGAGACTGCCACTGCCTTCTCCCACCTACCTACCCCACTTCCAGAATAGGAAAACTGTTGAAAAATCCCCAGGGCCTGATTGGAGTCAGTGCCCTCACAGGAAGGGCAGAGGGACTTGCTCGCCTCACCTCAACTTCCTCTTTCTCACTCTCCCCTCCCCGTGTGGCGGCCCACTAAGAAGAAGAAGAACTCAGAGATGGAGAGCTCGGAGAAACTTGGTTCTTTTGGGGCTGCTCTGTAAATATGGTTAGCTGTTCAAATTTGGTCATGTTTTGGTTTTAGTGGTAGCAAATCTGTCCTTTGTCACAGAAGCATAGCACCTGGCCAGTCCTGTCTGGGCTGCAATTCTAAGCAGGGCAGTCTTGATAGTACTTGGATGGGAAACTCAAGTTTCTCATCTATCAGGGAGGTAGGCCAGATCAGGAAGTTGAAAAATATCCTGGAAGAAAGCAATGGCAAACCACTTTTATACTGTTGCCAAGAAAACTGCATGGCTGTGTCCATGAAATCACCAGAAACTGAATTTGATTAGAGGTGCCATTACCGTTTTTAATCTGTTATTTCTTTTTAAATTGGCAAAAAAAAGCTACCTATGTCCCAGTAATCTTCGGAAATGATTTCTGCATGAATTATGCATGAGTACGGCAATATCAGTTCTTCTAAAAATTGAAAAATATATGATCATTTACAAGACTGGCAGGTGAGCAAATACCCACCAGTACTTTGGGGAAAGAAATTACATCAGTTGGGTATTACTTAAAAAATAATCTTCACCATCATCTCATATGGAAATTTCAAGTCGACCATTTAAACCTGGGGTCAGTTGTATTAGCAGTTAAAGTTTTAGAAGAGTGGTTTGAATGAGCCAAAGCTTTATGCCTCCTTCTTACCTTCCTGTCTCTTTTTCCGCTTTTGGAACAGAAAACGGCTTCAGGCTTGTTCCATTACTACGAAGACAGTAGTAACAATTGACATTTATATATGCCAAGGCCTTTTAACAACAAAATTAGTTCTGTCATTTGAACAAAGAAATCATAGTTAATTAGTTATATGAATTTTAATTGAATAATCAAATTTGTATATGAATAAACATTGGGGGGGGAAGCATTTTTTGGCTGTACTCTATACCTTGAAGCAAATTTCACTGAATTTGGTGGGACAGTACTTCTGAGTAGGTGGGCATAGGACTGCACAAACATTAGATAATGCATGCATGTTTCACAGAACTCTCTCAGAAGTTGCATTTCCTATATGATAAAAGTGGTAGGTCTTGTCTAAGGAGATATCTACCACCCATGGATTGTTTATATAACCGCAATATTTTTAAAAGATGCAGCTCAATTAATAAAATATTCAATTTTTAATGGATCAAAAATTATTCAATGTTTTGACAACCATCTTCCATCCTGATTTTCTCCAGATGCATTGGACTACAACTACCATCATGGCTTGTCGTCTGGGATGACAGATATTGTAGCCAGATACATCTTTAAGGTGCTAGGCTGACCAACACTATAATGTTTATTTCTGAACTGCAGATCAGGAAATACAGCAATCTTGAATAATTCCCCATACTAAAAATATGGTCACAACACTGGAAACATTGAGACATATAAACATGCAGTTTTCATACACTACCATTATCAGTGACAAACAGGCTCAAGACAGAACTCTTCAGCATGAAGATCGTAACAAAAGAATGACCTTGTTCCTCACTGGATATTAAAAAAAAACTTTTATAGTGTAGCTCTTGCTAATTTTATGTGTGCATTTCCTTTGTTATACTCTTCCAAGGACCAAACACCAAAATGAGCAGGTTATAACCAGGTGGGGAGGGGCACATACACACGCCATTCACATGCATATATCCATTCACATCCTACTCACACACAGATATAGAAAACCTCTCCTTGAGTAGCAAGTAGATCCCCCCCTGCCCGGGAAAAAAAAAAAGCTTTATGTGGACTCCAGTGCAAGATTTTGGCAGGTCACAGAAGGCAGGAAAGGCAGTGTTACCCTCCCTAACTAATTCTCCCACCTCAATCCTTCTGGAATCAGGCTTGAAAAAAATATGCACTAAATATTTTGGATGGTTTAGCAGCCATTCCTTTTCCAAAGGGAGTTCTGACCTCATTTGTGAGCAAGTTGGGTCACTAACACAGAATTCTTAGGGTTTATTCAATGCTGACCATCCACCAATGGAAGAGATTCCTGCTTCCCTTTGATGCTCCCTGCATTTTTCTCAAATAACGTCTGCATGGTGAGAGAACCTGCCCAGAGGGATTCTTTTTACATTTCAACATGTTAATGACACAACAGTCTGTATATAATCCTCTAGCAATTGTCCAGCTAAGTCCAGCTCTCTAGCCATTCCTTTGCTAAGATCTAAGAGAGGCAAGGATACTAGAATCTGCTTTACATGTCCAGTATTAATTCTGACAATGCTGAAACTAATCACCTAACTTGAAAGCTAAGCATGTTTCGATTAGGAAAAAGGAAGTTGAGTAGTAAAGATTGGGGCCAAGAATGTTTTAAAGAATGAGGTGCTGAAAGTAAGGGAAGGGGGCTGCCCCCATCCCCATTCAGGCATAACTCCAGTAGTTCTCTTTGATTGGGGTAGCAGTCTTGGCCATCCCCATCTCCTTTAACTGGACACTCTGGGGGCTCCAGCTGGCCTATTAGGCTACCTCCTCTGAATATATGGTGACTCTAGCAGGCAGACGGGCAGGGTTTTTTAGGCCTTAGCTCTGTTTTTGTTACACTGAGTTAACCAGTCATAGGTATCTGGTACAAGCTATGAGAATATCACATGTGCCATGACATTGTCACACAAATGCAAATTAGGTAATGTGCATCAAACAGGTGCCCCCCTTCCTCCCCACCTGTGGATTCCCAGGCAACCAGCTGCAATTGATTACAAATAAAAAGGACAAGTGTTTTAAACCTATACAGATCACAAGATTGCCATCACTTCTGCACTCTGTCACTTAAATCAGATTGTCAGCTTGTCTTACTATCATTCTTCCCACTGCCCATCCTTGACTCTTTAAAAATACAGTTGCCACCTCCTTCTCCCTCACATAACATTAAATGATGTCCACAGCTGCCCTGAACAGAGTTCAATGGTCTGAAGATTCATTAAGCCTGGCTTGGTGAATTTCACCCTCCAGGAACAATTGATTTTATTAAATACTTTATTTGCAGAAAACACAGAGATAAAGCATTGTTGTTCTCATTTAGCACATTTCTTTCTTTCTTTCTTTCTTTCTTTCTTTCTTTCTTTCTTTCTTTCTTTCTTTCTTTCTTTCTCTCTCTCTCTCTCTCTCTCT